GGAAATCATAGAAAATTGTAGTTTAAAAGCAGTAAAATCGACCTTGCTAACCAGATGCTCCTTTGTAGCTAAACTAGTATAGCGTGTCAGACTATATGATGGTTCCGTGTAGGATACAGGTTTGATTCCTGTCGGAGGACGCATATTTAAATATTTCTCCGACGTTCATGCCGGTAAATGCTGTTAATAATGTTTCTTACAAACAGAGCATTTACTATCTATATAAATAAGGTATAACAATAAAATATATTAAAATTTGTATATATATATATATATATATATATATATATATATATATATATATATATATATATATTACCCTGACGCAGTTTTGTCAGTTCTCATTAAACGTAAACATCATGTTCGGAGAAGAAAGATCTTCCATTTCCATGAATATAATTTCTACACAAATTTTCGAGTTTGTAACAACAAACCCAAGGATCATTATTTAGCAAGTATTCGTAGTAAATAATTTACAATTTCGAATATCCTTTGTTTAACAAATGTTGCCTAATTAATTGTGAAGCTAAAATTGCCGATTGTCATTTTTGCTAAATCTGATTTCGATGTTGCATATTATTTTCTCGCGCATGCGCAAGATATTAGTAAATGTGAGCCAGAATCTATTAGATTAGGAAAGAAATAAAAAAAAATGTGAAGGGAGAGAGAGAGAGAGAGAGAAAATCAATAGAAAGAGGCAAGAAATATAAATTCATTTTCATTTCTATTGTACAAAAACAATCGATTATAAAATTGCGGAAACGCGGGGGTCTTCTTTTTCTTGTTGTTGGACTGTGATCTGCACGGGCATATACAACTGATCATTTAAAACTGATTGCGTCTTGAAATCAATTTTAAGTTAAGTTTTATTAAGTAAATCAATTCGTTTTTTTCTGATTCAAGTCGCTTACATCCCTGAATTGGAAGAGAAGGGTGATGACATTTTAATTGAACTTTATTATTATTATTATTATTATTATTATTATTAATAATAATAATCATCAGTAGAACCCTGATGTCTTCGACTATTTCTGAGTACATATTTGCTGAGGGTGAGGTAGACTGCGTAGACGGACATGCTTACACGGATAGATAGATAGATAGATAGATAGATAGATAGATAGATAGATAGATAGATACATAGATAGATAGATAGATAGATAGATAGAAATAAACTGAGATAGATAGATAGATAGATAGATAGATAGATAGATATATTGATTGAGAAACTGGAATCGACGAGTAGATACGAAATGAGATAGTGGTTCATATATATATATATATATGTGTGTGTGTGTGTGTGTGTGTGTGTGTGTGTGTGTGTGTGTTTGTGTGTGTGTGTGTGTGTGCGTGTGTGTATGTATAGGTACAACCATTGATTCGCTAAAAATTAACATAACTTAATGAAAAAACGCCCCAAACTTAATAAAAAAAGTTTATCGTAAAAATATTTTTGATTATTAAACTCGTTTTTTTTTTAATCTTTTTAGACTTTAAAATTACCGTTAAAAACATTCTTTTTTGTTTCATCTTCAGCTGCAAGCAATAATTAGTATAGAAAATTTTAATATCATTTTACGTTGAAAAAGACATTGATTTTGAAATTCTTGAAAAAATCAAATAAATGTCGGGTTTTAATGTAACATTCAGAACTTATTTTCAAATGAATGAAATTATTTTAGGAATTATTTTTTTAGAAAATCTTTTTTTACATCAGACAATTCACAATCATGAATAATATTTTGATCAGATTAATGTTTATATTAGTTAATAGCAGAACTCCGTCTATTTCATAATATATATATATATATATATATATATATAATGTCATCCACAGACAGACAGTTTCGCGAGACGTCCGGTTGCCTCTAGCTAGGATCGAAACCCGACTCAATTGGCATCAGTCGGGGATTCTACCACTCAGCCGTTGGCGCACGGCATATGTGTGTGTGTACGTGCGTGTGAGTGTGTGTATAATACATAAAAGGTTAATTGACAGAGTTAAAAGAGAAGTATTAAAAAGTGCTCAATACACATGTGAAAAAATAAAAGTAAATATAACATGAAGAGCTTTTAACATTAAAAATCAGGAGGTCAGTTGAATCCACTACCTTAGTTTCAATCTAATAGGTAACCTCAGTTGATGTTTTGCAAATTACTTCTCTTTTTTTTATCCAGTCTTATATGCACTTAAGGAACATTTTCTGATATGTAAGCATGGACTTAAGAATTTCTGGTTTAAAAAGGTTTTTTTTTTTATCTGGAAATGTCATAATACCTAATTTTTCCTTTATATTTGCACACACACACACGCGCGTGCACGCACACACACATACACGCACACCTATATATATATATATATATATATATGTGTGTGTGTGTGTGTGTGTGTGTGTGTGTGTGTGTGTGAATGTTGAATTGTACATATATATATATATATAGAGTGAGAGAGAGAGGGAGCGAAAAGGATTCTTCGGGGAGAAAAAGGATTTTATAAACAATGATTATTAATGCTGCTGATGCAAGACTCTTCGTTAAGACGAATCGAGTTCTCTGGTCACTGGCGTTTTTGTCTAAAACAAATAAGTTCGCTTTTGATCTAGGGTTGAGGCAATCGGATGTGTAACCACACTGATGAGCTGCCTAACAGTCTGTCCGTCGATGACAATATATATATATATATATATATATATATATATATATATATATATATATATATATATGGGCACGTAGCCGAGTGGTTAGAGCGTCCGCATTCTGACCATAAGACCCTGATCGGACTGGAGGGGACGATCCCAGCGTGTGGTACCTTTGGATAATGGCTGAAAACAGGTTGGCCTAAGCCTTGTGGGTGAAATTTGGTAGACTGAATACTAGCTGTGCTAGCACAAAGTCACAAATCATCGTGGCCTTTTTCAAATTGGTGATCACGCTAGATAACACGATCTTTCACAGAAACTGTAACAAAGTCTGCTCAGCATAGTTGATGAGCAAGTGTCTAGAAATAGTGATTGTCTAGCCGCCCTAGTAGAGAGGCATCCTCGAATACGAGTGACCAGCTAAACATACATACGTACATACATACACAGATGTATATAGGAGGCACGGTGGGGTAATGGATATCGGCTCGGATTGTGGAATCGCAGAGCCGAGTTCGAATCCATTACATTCACTTACGTGCTAATCCTCTAAAATAGCAGGACAGACTGGGTTCTATAGCCTTGGATGGCAACTGGTCTTCAAAACCTGCGGAGGGTCGTTTGGGGACCTTGTGGCACCAGGTCTCTGTATTCGTCCCTTCAAAAAGTGTGGATGGTCCTGCACGAGGCCTTCACCACTATAATCAAAATCTCATGTGCTGTCGGTTTCCTGGAAACTGATCTGCTTGACCCTCATATGTCGAATCTCGACGGGAGAGTCGATTATATATATATATATATATATATATATATATATATAAAGATCTGACCAACAATTTTGATATATATATATATATATATATATATATATCAAAATTGTTGGTCAGATCTTTGCACCATAATCTTGATATATTTGTGAAGTATATTAGAATTGTTATGGACCAAGAAGGACAACAGCAACACGAGAGTAGAAATAACGAAGGTATATTACCCGAAATAATAATACAAGATGTGGAAGGTGTTAGTATGACTGTCAGTCTGGTTTGGTGTGAACTACAATCGGCTCGACTCGATTCGATATTTACTTCCCCCCACCACCACGAGGGAAAGATGTGGCACAAGGCCGAGTTTTTGTTGGTTTTCCCGAGTCCGTAGCCTCGGCCAAAAAAAAACGCCCGTAGAACCCGTATAAACGGGATCGGGTTAATCAACCTCCCCGAACGAGACTCTGCCCTTCGGCGGAGCCTCATCCGGATTCCTCTCTGCTCAGAGGCAGAGAGTTCGACCGTCAAGCCGAGAAGCTCGGCTTGATTCGGTATCTAGCCACCCCTCCACGAGGGTTGCATATGGCACAAGGCAGAGTTTAACGTGAGTTTCCCGAGCCTGTAGGATCGGCTAAAAAATGCCCGTAGGCTCGGCCAAAAAAATGCCCGTAGAACCCGTATAAACGGGATCGGGTTGGTCAAACTCCCCGAAAGAGACTCTGCCCTTCGGCATAGCCTCGTACGGGTTCCTCTCTGCTCAGTGGCAGAGAATTCGACTGTCAAGCCGAGCTTCTCGGCTTGATTCGGTATCTAGCCACCCACACCCACGAGGGTTGTATATGGCACAAGGCCGAGTTTAACGTGGGTTTCCCGAGCCCGTAGCCTTGGCCAAAAAATGCCCGTAGGACCCGTATAAACGGGATCGGGTTGGTCAACCTCCCCGAACGAGACTCTGCCCTTCGTGCGGGTTCCTCTCTGCTCACAGGCAGAGACTTCGACCGTCAAGCCGAGAAGTTCGGCTTGATTCGTCCCTCTCTCTTGAGAGGCGTAGTATACATAGTGTTAGTTATAGGTAAGGACCCATGACAAGAATAAAACAGAATCTATACTGTCAGCAAACTGCCAAGATTCGGAGAGAAACTGTGTTCAACAGATACACAAATATCAAAACTGGTGTAAGACAAGGTTGGGTTTTCTCACCAGACTTACTCAACCTATACAGTGATGTGATTCTGAGTGTATTATAAATTCTACCAGGATTCATTATTGGCAGTTATAATCTTAACAATATAAGATATGCGATGACTCAGTGTTGGTAGCAGACAGGGAAAAGAAATTACAAAAACTCCTAAAGAATATAGGGAAGGAAAACGAGAAGAAATGATTAAACTCCAGATAAGAAACTGTGGAGAGCCATGATCACCCACGTCCAGAGGAAGCACGGCGCATAAAGAAGAAGACAGAATGCATGGTTGTTAGCAAAAGATGAGCCCAAAAATTCAAATTACACATCAGAGATGCCAAAATCAAGCGAATAAAAAAAAATTAAATATCTGAGAAGTGTTTTAACAGAGGACGGAAAGGCTTAGGCAATCATGTATCTTTCCATATATGACTGACGAAGCAGAGATTTTCCCGCAGTAGGTTGCCATTTCTTTCTGCAGTAGACCAGTTGACATCCAAGGCTATAGAACCCGGTCTGTCCTGCTATTTACCCATATCTGGAATGGGGAGAAGAAGAGGATTCATACCTTTTCCAATGGTATTAGCGCGTAAGTGAATTTCAGTCAGTTATGTGCCATACGTGATACACTCTTAGGCGATCATGTATCTTTCGTTACATGACTGGCGAAGCAGACATTTTTCCCGCAGTAAGTTGCCATTTCTTTCTGCAGTATATCAGTTGCCATCCAAGTCTATAGAACCCGGTCTGTCCTGTTATTTACCCATAGCTGGGGGGAGAATATGAGGATTTATACCTTTTCCAAGGGTATTAGCACGTAAATTAATCTAATGAATTCGACTGGAATTCGAACTCGGCTCTCCGATTGTTCAATCCGGGTCTCTATCCATTACTCAACCGTGCCTCCCGAAAGTGCGACTCTGAAAATCCGAAGACGCATTGGGATAGCCAAATATGCCTTCCGAAACCTAAGCAGAGTATTAAGAGATAGAATCAAAGAAAAGGGTACTGAGCTATTATGTGATACCTGTCCTCTTATATGTTAATGAATGTTGGACAATCTCCTCAAAGATGAAGAAAGAGCCATGGAGAAAGAAAAATGTTGTTACAGGAGGTTGGTGGAGATATGAACCAGACACGTAAGCAAAGAAGAGATTTTAGAGAAAATGTAAACAAAAATGAAACCTATACTTAAGATCATGAAGAGGGTTGAGATTTCTGGGGGAGATAATGAGGAAGCGAGGGGGTTGCTTGGAAAATAGGATCCTCCCTGGATAGCATGAAGGCAAGTAAGACAGAGGAAAACAAAGCATACTATACTTGATAAGCGGAACAGGTTTTCGGAGAAATAAGGAAAAGACAAGATTATATTAAGAGCTACAAAGGATAGAAAATGTGGAGAGACATGATGGCTCACGTTCAGAGGGGGGGGATGATACATAAAGAAGAAGAAGATGAAGAAGAAGAAGAAGAAGAAAAAGAAGAAGATTTTGTATACGGATAGAAGAACAGAGTTTTGGAAAGATAACAAAAACAGAGCTACAAAGAGCAGGAAATTGTGGAGAGCCATGATCGCACACGACCTGAGTGGGGCGGCGAAAAAAGAAGAAGAAGAAGAAGAAGAAGAAGAAGAAGAAGATTTTGCAAACGGATAGAAGAACTGTGTTTTGGAAAGATAACAAAAAGATAAAATTAATCAAGAGTTACAACGAACTGGAAATTGTGGAGAGCCTTGATCGCACACGACCTGAGTGGGGCGGCGAAAAAAGAAGAAGAAGAAGAAGAAGAAGATTTTGTATACGGATAGAAGAACAGTGTTTTGGAAAGATAACAAAAACAGAGCTACAAAGAGCAGGAAATTGTGGAGAGCCATGATCGCACACGACCTGAGTGGGGCGGAGAAAAAAGAAGAAGAAGAAGAAGAAGATTTTGCAAACGGATAGAACTGTGTTTTGGAAAGATAACAAAAAGATAAAATTAATCAAGAGTTACAACGAACTGGAAATTGTGGAGAGCCATGATCGCACACGACTTGAGTGGGGCGGCGCATAAAGAAGAAGAAGAAGAAGAAAAAGAAGAAGATTTTGTATACGGATAGAAGAACAGTGTTTTGGAAAGATAACAAAAACAGCTACAAAGAGCAGGAAATTGTGGAGAGCCATGATCGCACACGACCTGAGTGGGGCGGTGCATAAAGAAGAAGAAGAAGATTTTGTAAACGGTTAGAAGAACAGCGTTTTTGGAGAGATAACAAAACGACAAAATTTATCAAGCGCTACAAAGGACAGGAAATTTGGAGAGCCATGATCGCACACGTCCTGAAGCGGCACGGAACATAAAGGAGAAGTTTACAAGAAAACATAGAATTCAACACCCAGCCAGCTGACATTGTTCTTTTCAATTTCAAAACCAAATTTAGACCTTTTGAGCTCATCGACCAACTATCTCTTGTTTTTTGGTACTTGATGAATTCATGCTTCCTTTAAAGACAGATTCAGAAAACGCGAGAAAATGTAATGTTATAAATACAAGTGTTAAATAAAATCTGCCCTCTAATACATATGTAACTAAATGTGCTCGGTCGTACCGCTCTGTTTGGCTGCAGACAGAATTAGTCGGACCTATCATTGGAAGGTGGTCTATCGCAACCTCTGATCGAAGTCGATGCTTAATGAAGAAATAAAACGCATTTTGATGGATGGTAGTTTGAAATTAAGTCTGACAAGACAAAATAATTGAAAATCTATATATCCCGGACTTGTCAAGCCCAGAAAAGAAAAGAAAAACAATGGTACGGCATTGATTTTCGAGGAAAGAACCAAAAAGAATATAGAAGGACAAATAATGGGTGAGCAAAAAGCACCGTTTGATGGAATCTGGAGACAAAGAGAGACAGTTCGATTCTCTTAAGCATTCGCTTTTGCCGTGTTTTAATATCAAAATTTCTCCTACTTCTCTAAGAGCACTAACAAAAGGCCTGAGTGCCACTCTAGATATAAGGTTACCGTTAAAATATTTATGGTGAATGGATTGTGTGATTTACAAGAAAGAAGATTTGGGTGGATGTAAATATCTTGAGAACAAGAATAAACCTTAATAGATTAAAACCTGACTTGAAAAGATTAAGATTATAGAGTTCAAGGAAGCATCCAAGTGAGAGCCTGTTCCACAAAGTAGCAAGTAAAAGCTGTATCAGTTGAGGTTACATTTAGAATATAGGGATAATAAGGGCGATTCAACACCGTGGACGTAACATGGCCGTAAATGCCTACGCTGGTGGATGGAGGTGATCTGGAAAGTTGCGATAGTCTTGCGACGTTGTGTCTTTGAAACTGAAGCTGCAGGGTGGTGATTTGCTTTTCCAAAGCAAAAGGATTGTGCAGCTCCAGCCAAGGTATGGCAACAATGCAATATTTTTTGGTCTAATCTCTCTTGCGTCAGGATAGATTAAGGGTAAAAGGAATAGGTATTTCCCGGAGCAGCAGAATGAGCCGGTCGTTTTTCCAGTATCTTGATTTTTTGTGTAAATACTGGGTGCGATGGATAAATTGTCGCCTAAGTGAGACAAAAATGAAAATAACACTGATATCTCATTTTAACAGATATATTATTATTACCCAAAATTACCTAAAAAATATCTTAAAATACTAAAGAGAAAATTTATTAAATAAAATCGACATTGGCTTCAACCACGGCCTCCAAAAGACTTCGGAATATCCTGCAACTCTTCTGGACTGTCTTCTTGTTTAAGTTGGTGAATGCTGCCATAATCCTTCCCTTCAGTTTATCTTTGGGATTACAACGAGTTTTGTAAGTCTCTTACTCAACTGCGCCTTGCACATAATTAATCAAGGGGCTTGCGATCTGGAGAGTTAAGTGGCCAGATATAAGGGGTGATGTGGCCTCAGAAATTGTCTGATAGCCATAACTGGGTTCTCCTGCTTGTAGTCAATATGAAACTCTGGTGAATGAATATCTTTCAAAGGGTGTGTTAAAAGTAAGTAAATAATAGGATAGCAGGTGAGTTGGAATGGTTGAAAGACAAAAATTTAGAAGCAGTTTCCAAAAATTTCATTTGCCAAAAATAAATACGATTTCAATATTTCATTTATTATTATAGATTACATGTAATTGCATGCATAAGTCACAGTATAAATAGTTAGAAATAATTATTGACCGATTTTATCATTGTCATATTTTTGCATTTTGTCAAGTATTAAGAATATATTAACTAGGCTCCGCAAATTGGAGAAGAGTGTTATCAATAATAATGTTCTGACTTCGAATCCGCGGTTATCTCCCTTTAAGCCGCTCGCTTTTTTTTTTAATTTTTAAATGTACTTTTACTCACATAAAATTTGGAGTGGTGCGAGTAAATTTGGTATGGTAAATTAGCTTAACTGTTAACTATTAGGTTGGTGCAAAAAATAATGACGTAATAAGGTCGTTTTTGACCTATTTTTAACGTCAAAAAACGACATTATTACGTCATTATTTTTGCACCAACCTAATAATTTGAGAAGTCATTGAGTATATACAAACTTAGTCTGGTACAGGTTTTTGGTGCCTGGTAAACTCCAGTTCAGTCTAGACTAGTGGTTCCCAAACGGCTCGGTGCGCCTCAGCGGAAGACGATAGCAGGTGAGGCGGAATGATTGAAAGACAATCAAAATTTTAGAAACAGTTTCAAAAAAATCATGTCAAAAATAAATATGATTCCAAAATTTAAAATATTATTATGGATTACTTGTCATTGCATTTAGGAGCCAAAGTATAACTAGTTATAAATAAGTATTGACCTATTTTATCATTGTGCTATTTTTGCTTTACATCATTTATATAGAATATGATAACGAGGTCCGCAAATTGGAGGAGAGAGTTATCAATGATAATGTTTTGACTTCGAATTCGCGCTTACCTCTCTTTAACTCTCGCTCTGTTTTTTTTTTTGGGGGGGGGTATTGTTTTTTTTTATTTGGAAATGTACTTTTTATCACATAAAATTTAGTGAGGAGAGAGAAATTTTAATTCCGAAAAATGCGGCCCAGAGGCAAAAAAAAAAGAAGTTTGGTAAGCGCTGCTCCTGTCAGTGTATATTTTAGTCCATTCCAAAACAACCTAGTGAGTGGAAGTAACCTGCTTCATACCTCAGGATATAAAATAATCTAGTCTAAACTGTATTACAATTCTTTAATTATAAGGCACAAGGCCGAAAAATAATATTCTAAACGTATCTTAGATGCGTCACTAGGACGAAAGTATGTGGTATCCTGTGATAATCAAACTCACTACTCAGTCATAATTGTTCTAGCGAGAAAAATTGGCTAACCATTACATCACGTCGAAGTGCTCTCAGATTAATCTAAACCAGTGCTTCTCAAACTATCTGATATGGCGTATTGGCATTTTTTCTCAATGTGTCGCGTATCTGTAATATTTCGTGGTAATATTAATTTATACCGGAGACAATATATATAATGAATATAATAAAAGTTGCTTATTGTTTAGCTTCCATTTATTTTGTAAAAAAATAATTCAATATCAAAACATATAAAAAGTAATAAAAAAATAAGCAGTTTATTAACACAAAAACAAAAATTATATAACATTAATCATTACAAATGATTCCTTAGTATGGCCTGGACACTAGTCACGTACCGGTAGCTGTTGGTAGTTCACGGACTGGTGCTGGTGCACCAGTCCGTGAACTACCACTTTAAGAAGCACTGATCTAAAATGTACCTTCTTTCTATCTTTTTATGCGTCATGTCCTTTCATGACGTAGGCGATCATGGCTCTCCACTCTATTCCTTGAAGCTCTCAACAAGTTCCTTCTCTCTGCTTCCTCCCCCAGATCACGTTCTGTCATCTACTCGCTTAAGACCGCAAGGTACTTTTTTTTAAAGCGTTTCACCCCAAGCAAGGCGGGAAGCCACTAGCACGCAAAGCGGTTACAGAGAGTTGGAGCGAGAGCAAATAGGAGTGATAGAGGAAAGGATGAAGAGAAGGATAGGGGATAGATCAAGGCATCTGGAGACGTCGATTGACATTACATTTGAATAGTTGGAGATTACAGCTATCAGGGAAACAGGAAAAAGGGGGAGTTCTACTATTCGACCTGTGAGTATCGCCTTGTTTGGAGTGAAATGATTCAAAAAAAGTACCGCTAAGTATTATATGTCTCATTGCTATTCCTCCCAGCCACTGTTCTGCCACCCGTTTGTACACGTTGGGTAGATTATTCCCTTTATCTGACTTTTCTTTTGCCTTCGATGAGCCTTGTGAGTTTCATATTTTCTACTCTTCTTTCCTCTTTGTGCGTCCGATAAATTTCAACTGTCTCATATTTTTTCTCTTTATTTAAATCTTCCCCATTTCTTACATGCTCTGTCCATAGTATTCGCAGTGTCCTTCTTTAGAACTGCATTTCTTTTGCCTTAAGTCTCATCTTCTGTTCGGAAATTGTCCAAATTCACTGTCATAGAGGAGGACTGCCATTACATAACAGTTTAGTAATCTTATTACTATCTGAGGAAATGTTAGCTAAGGTAATAAAAGACATCTTTTGTCAACCAAATGCAACTATGGATTTCAGTGCTATATTTTCTGTCTTCCAGAAGAGTGTCAGTTTCATCCAGCTATTACATCTGTTGAATCAAGCAATATCAACGGTGAAATGGTGAGACCTAGCTGCCAATCCAGTACTGCGCTTAAATTCGTGAAGCCCAAAGAGGAATGACGGTGAATTTGTACAACTTCCTAACAAAGGAGGAGACAAAAGATATGCTGTTATGAGGAAAGAAGCGCGGGGAATGTGAAACTCGCAAGGCTTACTGAAGGTAAGAGAAAAGTCGGAAAAATTGAGTAACCTACCTAATTTGTATAAATGGGTCGTAGAACATTGATTGGGAGGGATACCAATAAAGAGATTTTCTGTCACTTCTGCCCTCAGGCCCACCCCCGACGATTGAAGCAGTCAAGCGACCAATATGGACGATAACGATTCTTTTCTTTTTATATGCCGTGTCCTTTCAGGACGTAGGCGACCATAGCTCTCTACTTCCCCTAGTGCTCAATAAGTCACGTCCCTTTGCCAACTACCCCAGACAACGTTCTGTCATCCATTTGCTTAAGTCAGCCAGGTATGTCATGCGTTGATTTTCCTTGTCTTTCTTTCCCTCTATCCGACCGGTGAATATCAGATTCTCCAAGCCCTTCTTTCTCATTATGTGTCCCAGAAACTTCAGTTGCCTCTTCCTGATGCTAAGTATAAGCCTCCTCCTTGTTTGCATCCTCTCCAATAACTCATCGTTGCTCACACACTCGGTCCATGATATCCTTAGCATCCTTCTGTAGAACCACATCTGCGTCGCCTCGAGTCTCTTCTTCACCTTTGAGGAAATTGTCTGGTATTCGCCGCCGTAAAGAAGGACAGATGTCACGTAACATCTCGGTTCTCTTTTCTTTGCTACCAAAGAGATCCTTCTGTCACGTAATAATAATATTAGAGCTGTTAAGAGCTGTCTACAGTCGACCGGCAGTCTCTGACTGTGTACGTCTAGGCGGGTTCAAAGGGTACATTTTTGGCCGAGCCTACAGGCTCGGAGAGACCTACGTTAAACTCGGCCTTGTGCCACATACATTCCTCGCGGGGGTGGGGGACTGTTAAATATTCCTGTCTTGTAATACTCTGCCCAGCTTTTGGTATGCGTCATTGGCCATCCCAATACGTCTACGGATCTCCGTATCGCTCTTGCCGTCATCTGTCAAAACACTTCTAAGACATTTAAACTTACGCACCTGCTGGATTTTAGTGTCCCCGACATGTAAATCGCATTACGGGCTCATCCTTTTACTGATGTCTAAGCATTCTGTAGTTCCTAAACTTTTCTTTCTGCGTTTACCATTTAACGT